GTTGTATAATTTTTGCCACAGTTAGAAAAATAATATCCTGAATAACAATGACTATAAGAAAGAAGAAAATGTTCTAGAATTGAATATGACAGTTGTACAGCTCTTCTACTGAATTGTGTATGTGTATTCAAGTGCTAATAAAACTATTAAAGTATATATTCTGCCTCCTTTCGTCTCATTTTAGAAAAGTTAATAACCTTAATATATGAAGAGCTTATTTTTAAAACATGTACTAAAATTATTATTACATTTTTGAGTAGTAGTATTGTAAGGAATATATATTGTTTATCATTTTATTGGGGGCTTGTGCAATTCTTATTACAATCCATACATCCATCCATTGTGTCAAGCACATAGGTACATTTGTTGCCATCATCATTCTCAAAACATTTGCCTTTTACTTGAGCCCTTAATATCGGCTGCTCAATTTCCCCCTCCCTCCCCACTCCCCTCTTCCTCATGAACCCTTCCTAATTCATAAATTATTATTATTAAGGAATATATTTTTACTGTGTTAGCAAAACCATTTGACATTTACCTCAGGAGATCCTGGGACTTTGGTTTATACACTGTTGTTTTTCTTTCTTTTTTTTTTTAATACTTTTATTTGGGGCTTTTACTTCTCTTATTAAAATTCATACAGTCCTCCAATGTGTCAAGCACACTTGCTGCCATCATCATTTTCAAAACATTCTCTTCCCACTTGAGCCCCTGATATCAACTCCCCTTTTCTCCCCCTCCCTCCCCTGCCTGCCCTCTCTCACGTACCCTTGATAAGTTATAGATTATTTTTCCCATATCTTACATCATCCTCCATCACCCCTCAACCACTTTCCTATTATTAGTCCCCCTGGGAAGGGGTTCTAGATTGATTCTTGTGATCGATTCCCTCTTTCTCCTCCACCCTCCCCTAATCCTAATCCTGATTTCTCTACTCTCCTTATTACTGTTGTTTTTCTTTTCTTTTTTTAAATCACTTTACTGGGGTCTCTTACAGCTCTTAAAACAGTCCGTACATCCATTGTGTCAAGCACATTTATACATATGTTGCCATCATCCTTTTGAACTATTGTTTTTCTAACACTGAGAATGCTTGGTGTATGCACATAATCTTAGTAAATCTATGATGAACAAATGAATAGAAGGGAGAAATTTGGAAGACAGAGAAATTTCCTATAATCTGATCATATGAGGATATCAGATACTTTTGTCATTTCCGTATCTATTAAGTAACTGTTATGAGACTACCTACTGCCATAACGTTAAAGCCTGGGAAACGCACAGGGCAGCTCTGCTTTGCCCTGTAGGGTCACTTAGAGTCAGAATTGACCTGATGGCAGTGAATTTCGTTCATGTGCCAGCTGCTGCTATCTATCAACAGGGAACTGCCACACGTTCAGAAGAGGATGTAGACTGTGGGATCTCATTATTGCCTTCAGGTGGATATATGCAGGCAAGAGCAAAGAGTAACAGAATGATGCCAACCTGTGTTGTGTCAACTATGAGAATGCATTACATGGTGTGGGTCATAACACATCATTGTAGATATTGTAAAGAGCAGGAGTTCTGAAACATTCACTTGTGCTCCAGAAGCAGTTATTAGAACAAGGGGACACTGCGAAGTTTAAAATTGAGAAAGGTATGTGGCAGGGCTGTCTCCGTTTACCTTGTTCCATCTGTAAATTGAACAAATAATTTGAGAAGCTGGGCTCTGTGAAGAATTAGAGGCAGACTCAGTAAAAACCTTGAGGTAGGCAGGTTGCTTGCCAAAAATGAAGGTGACTTGAAGCATCTACTGATGATGGTAAAAGACCCGCCCTCAGTGTGGATGACAGCTGAACAAAACCAAAAAACAAGACCAAACTCACTGCCCTCAAGTCCATTTCAACTCACAGTGACCCAAAGGGACAGGGTAGAGCTACCCTTGTGAGTATCCAAAACGGTAACTTTACAACAGTAGAAAACCTCATCTTTATCCCTCAGAGAAAAAACTGGTGATTTCAAACTGCCGATCTTGCGGTTAGCAGCCCAATGTGTCACTACTGTGCCCCCAGGGTTCCTTGCAGCCGAACATAAACGAAAACCCTTAAAATTTGACCAGTAAGCAACATCATGATAAATTGCGAAGATAATGAAGATATCAGGCATTTTATTTTTCTTGAATCAGCAATCAATGGCCATGGTAGTAGCAGTCAAGAAGTCAGATTGTATTGCATAGACAAATCTGCAGCCAATGACGCCGTTTCTTAAAGAGTTAAAAGCAAGTACATCACTTTGAGGACTCGGGGCTGCCTAACTCAAGCCACGGTCTTTTCCGTTTCCTTGTCTGCACGCAAAAGGAAGACCATGAAAGAACTGACACAGTGGATTAGGATGTTGGTGAGGAATATGGACTATGCCACAGACTGCAGAAGAATGAACGACCCTGTGGTGGACAGAGTACAGACACGAATGCTCACGAGCGAGGATGGAGAGACATGAACTCTCTTGGTTTGGACATATCGTCAGGAGAGACCAATAGCTAGAGAAAGACCTCGTACCTGGACAAGGGCCAGCAGAAACCAGGGAGCTGAGTTACAGCATAGTAGCACAGATAACGGGGTCTGGTTTAGCCGTGATTTTGAAGATGAGGCAGGACTGGGCAGTGTGTCTTTGTGTTCTATGAAAGATCACTGTGTGCTAGAGCTGACTCCATGGCCTCTGACAACAACAACGTGTTAACCCCTCTTATAAAATCTAAAAAGTCAATTATTGCCTCCCCCCTTTTTTCATGAAATATACATACTGGTGGAATTAAAATCTGGTTTGGAAATAAGCATAGCAAACATCACCACAATTCTTTTAAAACCACATGCCTGTGCACCTGGAAAATAAAATGTGCCCTTGCAGTGGCATGAACCTTGTGTACAAAGGGGGCCAGTTTTGTGTAAAGCTTAAAGTTACAGCTTGGTGGCCATAATTGTTTTAGTCTTTTTTTCTTGATCCGGAAGTTCTAATTTGGAAATTAGAACCATTTTTGTTTTTAGGAGCAATGCTGCAGCTAGCTTAGATTTGTAACTTTTTTTCAGAAACCTATAATCACTAAAATAAACATAAAAATAATTTTAAAACATTGGCATTCTATGGTGCTCACCTACCCAACACAACCACTGAAGACAAAGCCGGTGAATAAGCAAATGTGAAGAAAGCTGATGGTGCCCAGCTATCAAAAGATAAAGCGTCTGGGGTCTTAAAGACTTGAAGGTAAACAAGCGGCCATCTAGCTCAGAAGCAACCAAGCCCACATGGAAGAAGCACACCAGCCTGTGCGATCATGAGGTGTCGAAGGGATCAGTTATCAGGCATCATCAAAGCAAAAAATCTTATAGTGAATGAGGGGGGGAAGCCAGAGTGGAGACCCAAAGCCCATTTGTAGGCCACTGGACATCCCCTTACAGAAGGGTCTCGTGGAGGAGACTAGGCAGTCAGGGTGCGATGTAGCAATGATGAAACACAATTTTCCTGTAGTTCCTAAATGCTCTCCCCCACCCCCACCTCCCCACACTATTATGATCCCAATTCTACCTGGCAAGTCTGGCTATACCAGAGGATGTACACTGGTACAGATAGGAACCGGAAACACGGGGAATCCAGGGCGGATGATCCCTTCAGGACCAGTGGTGTGAGTGGCAAGACTGGGAGGGTAGAAGGAGGATGGATTGGAAAGGGAACTGATTACAAGGATCTACATGTGACCTCCTCCCTGGGGGACAGACAACAGAAAAATGGGTGAAGGGAGACGTCGGACAGGGCAGGATATGACAAAATAATTTATAAATTATCAAGTGTTCATGAAGGAGAGGGGAATGGGGAGGGAGGGGAAAAAATGAGGACCTGATGCCAGAGGCTTAAGTGGAGAGGAAATGTTTTGAGAATGATGAGGGCAATGATTGTACAAATGTGCTTTACACATTTGATGATTTATGTATGGATTGTGATGAGTTGTATGAGCCCCTAATAAAACGATTCAAAAAAAAAAAAAGGAAAAAAATAGAATTGTTGTAATGAACAAAGCATTATGTTGTAATTGAATAAAACAGTGATAGTTTCCACCTGGTACTCCCACACCTGGCAACAACTTAGGATGTGGAACCCCAGGAAGCCGATGAGGATTTCCCAGGAGATTCTGGGTTAATGGCATAATTTCTTAAGCTTTTACTTTTTAAAGATTTGTTTTTCCTTTTTTCTCTGTATCTACAAAGTTGCTTCTAAACTTTATAGTGAAAAATCAGGGTCATTTTTATTGATAGGTAGAGAGACTGAGAAACAGGGTCTGCTTTCCTGGACCATAAATTGGAGTACAGAAAGGAATAAAGGAGTTGGCAGTGTCTGTGCCTCTCGTCTGGTGTGTTGGTGTTTAAACAGGGCTCCGGGCGTGTGTAAGTCATCAAATGTTCATCGAGGGTCAGTCTGTTTCTTTTTTTTCTCTTTCCAGTCTGTTTCATTAGCATCTCCACTTGAGGTACTGTGGCAGCACAGTGTAGACAGAAATGAGGGTTTCTCCTACACCATGATGTGGCCTTGTGTGAGCCATCAGGGTTTAGTTTGGCTGCCTTCCCAAGAGCAGTAAGAACCCTGTGTGGTGGTGTGTGCAGCCATAGCCTTGGAGAAGTTCAGTCCTTCCGGGTGTATGGCAGTGCTGCTCCGCCCACTTCATGTGACAGCCACAGGTGTAAACTACTTCCTTGACACTTGATCGTTTTCTTCTCCCTGTTGTTTCCCTATTAAATTACAAGTGTCAGATGTATTTATATTACAATTACAGTGGTGGTTTGTTTTGCAGAGATTTCAACCAGTGTCATGGTACAATTTGTCAATTATTGAATGGAAAATCAATGTGCTGTGTAAACTGTTATCTGAAATACAATAAAATGTTGAGGAAAAATGATGTTGTTTCTTCAAGGGGAGGCTGGTGTCCTCTGTTCCCTCACTTCCATGTCTTTGTGCATGTTGTCTCCTAGCACACATCTCATGGCGATGGCCGCCAAGAAGTCAGCTCTCGAGCTGGGCGCTCTGGAGCGCGCTGTCGGAATTCCACAGCGTCCTGTGCGGACGAGCAGCCTCACATTGGAAACTACAGACTGCTGAAAACAATCGGCAAGGGGAATTTTGCAAAAGTGAAGTTGGCAAGACATATCCTTACAGGCAGAGAGGTAAATACAAGTTATGCTTATTTTGTTGTGACACTGTGCCGTGTCACGTGAGAAGAAGGATGAGAATGTTTATACTTGGGCTCATTTCTAAGTGAAGTAATCTTTTTACGAGAAACAGAACCGCATCACCTGTAGTCCATTATTATTATTATTATTTTTAATCATTTTATTAGGGACTCCTACAACTCTTATTACAATCCATACATACATCAGTTGTGTAAAGGGCATTTGTACATTCATTACCCTCATCATTCTCAAAACATTTCCTCTCCACTTAAGCCCCCGACATTAGGTCCTCATTTTTCCCCTCCCTCCCCGCTCCCCCCTCCCTCAGGAGCCCTTGATAATTTATAAATTGTTATTTTGTCATATCTTGCCCTGTCCGACGTCTCCCTTCACCCACTTTTCGGTTGTCTGTCCCCCAGGGAGGAGGTCACATGTAGTTCTTTGTAATCGGTTCCCTCTTTCCAACCCACTCTCCCGCTGCCCTCCCAGTATCGCCACTCACTCCACTGGTCCTGTAGGGATCATTCGCCCTGGATTCCCTGTATTTCCATTTCCTATCTGTACCAGTGTACATGCTCTGGTCTAGCCAGACTTGCAAGGTAGAATTCGTATCATGATAGTAGGGGCGGGGAGCAAGCATTTAGGAACTAGAGGAAAGTTGTATTTTTCATCATTGTTACATCGCACCCTGACTGGCTCGTTTCCTCCCCGAGACCCCTCTGCAAGGGGATCTCCAGTGGCCTACTAATGGGCTTTGGGTCTCCACTCCGCACTCCCCCATCATTCACTATGGTAAGATTTTTTGTTCTGATGATGTCTTATACCTGATCCCTTCAACACCTTGTGATTGCATAGGCTATCAAAGGTTTCCCTTTTTGCTGACTCTGCTTCCTGAGGTGGTAGTGTGTTACAGGGTGGGGCAGTGTAGACTCTACAAACACGTTCGTGAGTTTTTATTCTCTTAAATTCAAATCAGTTGGTCTCAATGCCCATGTGTTCAGGGCTCAATATTAATTTTGACTTAGGTGCAGCTGGCTTTTTTTCAAACTTGTGTGGCAGCAAAGGACGTCATGACTGCTCTAAGTTAGTTTGCTTGCTGCTCAGGTAACGACATCTCACCCACATTTTGTTTTGTGCAGTCTGTGCAAGTAGCAAGCTGGTGGGAATAGGTGAGTAGTGTCCTGCTGCTGCCTTGGGAATAGTTGTGACCTCATGACACCCTAAAAGGTAGGGTCTCAGGACCCTTCTAGGGGGCCGCACACTTTGAGAAACACCAGCTAGAAGTGTTATTTATCCTCCATTCTGAATATTTAAGATGCCTACATTTGGAAAAATGTTTTAATTGAAGGAGGTTCTGTCTAAAGTCTATTTACTTTGTCAGAGACACTTTAATATTTCCTACTCCCATCAAAAAAGGCATGGGTGGCTTGTCTTAATTACATAATAAAATGTATAATAAGGATGTGATTTTCCCTCCACCCCCAGGAAAGTGCCCTCTGTTTTAAAAATTAAGTATTTTTACAATATGGAGTAATTGTATACTTTACTGGAGTACATGTTTGTTTTGGCCTTGTTCCAGAGTGATTTGTGAGGCAGCTTGTCATCTTGCTGACTACATGGCTTTAACCTTCGTTGCCTACAAGTAGACGCCTGTGAAGACGGGCAGGCCTGTGGGAAAAGCCCAATCCCCGCTTTCACGCCCAGCACAGGTGGAGGTGGGCCTCTCACACCCTTGCTCACTCCCAGCTCAGTGAACATGGAGTGTCACCTCCCCTCTGCTGTTCGTGTCACCACTGTGGTGTGATTGAGGGCTTTGTATGGCATTTAAATCCATGGGAATTCACCTCTAACACACATGACTCGCGTATTATCTGCATGTTTTTGCAAATTGGGTGACTCACATATGCTGTATGAGAACAATGCAGTGGTCAGAACTGGTTTAGTTGGGGACTTGAGAGGATTTCTGGGGGGGTATGCACTATTATGGTAACTACCACTCTGAAACATATTAAGTAACTTAACTATTGCTTGTAATTTTCCTTTGGAACAAATGTGTGGAGGCGGGCCATTAGGGGGGAAAAAATCCTTGAATTTCCTTAGATGTCTGGTGGTCTTTTATTTTCCATTTATATATTCAAGAGTGGGACCCTACTGAAGGTAACAACTAGATTAATAATTACCTGGAGGCTTGGACAGGCAGTTGGAGGAAAATGGGGAGGCAGCAAGATTAGAGATAGGAAGGAAGAAAAGGTTCCAAAGTTGATTGTGGTCATGATTGCACAACTCTTCTTAATGTGATGGAACTATTAAATTCCATCTATTAAACTATTAAATTCTATGACAAGTTAATTATATACCAATTAATTTTTTTTCCTTAAGAGTGTAGGGCCTTGAACCGCCAAGGTAGCCCCTGTGTACCCTGGAGAGGAAGGGTCATAGGCCAGTGCCCAGCTTGGTCACCTCTGGGTAGGAGGAAGGATGGCCACCGGTTTGGACAAGCCCAGCATTCGGTTTTCTAGACAGATGAGTTTTCCTGGATAGGACTCTTCTAACAAGCATGTTTTAGGCTCAGCTGCCATATCCTGCACAAGTGACAGACCACCGACATCACTTGTCGTTCTGGTTGTCAGATGGGAGAAGAGATAAGTGCATGTGATCTGTCTGCTGTCTTTTCCCAAATGTCTTCAAGATGAGGCGGGAACCATTTTATCTGGTTGTTTTTATTCAGGTTGCATGTCCCATGGCTTACGGGATTGAGGCCCGTTACAAATCTCGCCCTGCCATCTCCCAAGGCAGCCACTTGAGTCTTTGATACAGCACCTCTGGTTCTCCTGCCAGCCATCGAGCTTGCTTTTGTTTTGGCTGCTTATTGGCTGTTCCCTTTTTCCCACATTGTAGGCCTTGTTATGTTTAAAGTCATCAGTTTTTAAAAAAATAAACATTTTTCTTGAGGAAACAGCATATACACAGAGAAAGTGCTCAGATGGTTAACTATAGACCTGGGCATGTGTTCCCATGGCAAGCATGTTGCCGTTGCTGCGTCCAGGGCAAGCTTGTACCATGCCAGTCTGCCTTCCCTTCTCCATGCCATGCTGTGGCACGCTTACCTCTTTGTTGGCAGGTTTAGTTTGTCTCAGCTGGGAGACGACTTTAGCTTTATCCTGTTCTCCAGTCCTTCCTCCCTTCAAGGGACTGTGCTTCCTTCGCCTGCCCCTTGCGCATGTGTGGGTGCTGAAGCATGGAGGGTGAGTGTGAGCCGATGATGCTCTGACACCGGGGTGAGCCGACAGGGCTTGGTGAGGGTTGGGAGAGATGTGAGGGCTTCTAGCATGAACCACCCTCTGCTCTGAGACTCTCCGCTGGGCTCCTGGCACCAAAGTGAGTAAATGGAATCTCCCCAAACTGTCAGGGCAGTGGCAGGCCACTTCTGCTTTGCTCTTAGAATCCTCCTGCTCCCAGAAACCCCATGGTCTGGAGGTGGGTAGTCTACTGTCCAGTCTCCATCTCAGAGAGTGTCACCCTCCTCTCATTGTGGCTTGGGGGGGCGGGGCACTGAGGCACCGGCCCCCAGCCGCTCCCCTGTCATGGTATGTGCTTATATGCTGGTGGGTCATTGGTGCATACTGAGTGTGGCCGGACTGATGTCAGCTGCTGAGAGAGCGCGGGGTGGAGAGAAGTGTCGCGTGGGTCCAGAAGCTGTGGGCTGTCCAATTGAACCTTGTGACTGAGGAGGAGAGTGAGCCTGGGCCGCTGGGCCAGGATGAGGAGCTGGGGACACAGCGGCTGGCCCCTGGCAGAGGGTAATGTGCTGCAGAGATTTCTGTGCTGTCCATGTGGTACAGCTACAAAAGAGAAGGGTTGGATCTGTGAGAACACCGAAATCCTGTTTCTGCCCACGCCCTGATATGCTTGGTTCCCCTTGTTGACATCCCAGGCCCTGGTCCCCATTGGCCACTGCCGCTGTGCTCCTGTGAGCATCAAGACTGGACCTGGACTGGCACTGAGGACATCACCTCCCGAAGGGGTCCTGTAGTGCTCCAGTCCGCATCCTGCAGCTCTGCAGGGACACAAGTCTGACTTAGCTTTCTGAGGGCACACACGAAATCACCCCAGCCCTCCCCTGCTTTGCTTCTTTCCCTTTGGGCTGTTTCCTTCCCCTTTGGGGCCAGTCCTTCCTTCCACTGCTCCCTGGCCAGTCAGCAGGCTGGGAAGACACAGAACTAGCCCTGCGTTGTCCGATGTGCTTATGTGTTTTCAGTGGAGGTTCAGTGCCTGCTGCGATGAGTGGCTCAGGGACCCTCAGAGGTTTCCTGAGACCCTTGAGGGGTCTGTAGCGACAAAGCTGTTAGGACTGTTGTACTGGTAGGACAGCACCTCCTCCCTTCTCATGTGCATGGGGATGGCCATGGCCACCCACAGGAGTGTCCTGTCCAGGTGACACTGTTAACTTGGGAGGGGCTTGGCCTTATGAGTTTGTTTTCATTTCTAAGACAGTAAATATTAAATGATAAGGCCAATTGTAAGGCAGAGCTCTGAAGGACTGTCAGTAAGAGTGTTAGGAGACAGTTTCTGAGAACAGTGATGTGGAGATTCCCTCCTCACCAGCTTTGCCCACTCATGCCTCCTGTTCCTAGAAATGCCGAGTTTGACATACCAGCAACAGGTGGCCAGGTGAGGTCAGGCTGGCCCCTTTATTAGAGGTGAGACAAGCTGGGCTCACTGAGAAAGAGAAATGCATGTGGCTGGAAGCTCTGGCACCTCCTTCTCTCCTGAGCCTAGTGACTGCATGGGCACTCAGTCCTTTCCAGGCACATTGTTCTGTGTCCACACATCACTGAGCTTCCCCCCATGGTCTGACACCACACCCTTTGCCTGCTCTAACCATGAAGGACTCTGTTTTTTTTAAGTTTTCAGATTCATTACCAACTCATATGTTCATACACCCAGAGACTCATCTGAGCTGCAGAAAGCTAGGGTCTGCCCTCTGAGTCGAGATGGGGAAGTAGCAAGTCGGTGTCACCATGGGCTGTAGATGTGTTCTGAAATAACCTACCTGAAGAGGACATTCACACGTTTTGGGAGGAATTCTTTCTCTTGTTCATAAGTAACTAGAGATAGAAGCTCCTGACACCCTTTCTTGGCACAGATTCCTTCCTTGCAGTGCTCCATGTGAGTTGATCACTTTCGAGGTCTTGGTTGATTTGTTTGATTTTTAATAAACCAACATGTCTGGGGTTTACAAAACTATTGCCAACTTCTTTAAATCCATGAATATTTATTCATTTGATTTTTTTTGTAGGTCGCAATAAAAATAATTGACAAAACTCAGTTGAATCCAACAAGTCTACAAAAGGTAAGATTTTTGGTATCCATTAGCCAGTATTTTGAAATCATTCTCAGCACTAATTCCATTCTAATTTGTTCATTAAATACTTTTATGATTTCTATTGTTTGGTTTAGTGAAGGGTCAGTGGTTTGAGCCTATAGCTGCTCTGGGAAGGAAACTGTGTAGGTGGCTTCCGTGAACGTGACAGCCCTGGAAACCCCGATGGTTCTCCTCTGTCCTCTAGGCTCCCCTGAGTCGTAACCGAGCCAATGGTCCAGCACAGTAAAGCTTAGTGTTCCTCAGGTGAATGCAGCTTACTTGTGATACTGTGGTAGAAAGGAGGGTGAATGTAGAGCTCTCATGGTTGACTTTTGGAACCTTCTGAGGCCCTTTGGGAGACAGTCCTAGTGGCGACTCTCCAGAAGGTCACAGCCTCATGAGCCCTCAAAACCCTCAGTTGGACTGGAGGCTGCACACTTACATTGTGTGCAGCTGGAGGACTTAAATAAAAATAGAACCTTTGTGTAATTGGTATTCTGGAGATTTTTACATCTTTTTGATGGGTAACACGGAGCTCTGTAAAATCAGCACCTTGGTCTCTTTAACTCTGTGGGGCTTTTGGATAAGTGTTGAACTGCTTACCAAGAGGTTGGCAGTTCAAACCCACCCGCCTCCATTGGAGAAAGCTATAGCCATCTGCTCCATTCAAGGTGTACCAAGCCCAGGAGCTCTGTACCAGGGCCACTGCGAGTCACAAAGGACTTGATGGCAGTGGATGTTCAGTTTGGGCTCGTATCAGAACACACCCAGGTACAGAATGAGATGCATGTCAAGCAGAGTGAGAGGAGCACTAAAACCCACTGGAAAGCAATACTGCCTGTGGTCACATCTGACTTCAGACGTTCTTAGCTCCGGTACCTTTAGACTGGACAGGGCACTTCTGAAACCCTGGTGCCTGTGATGCATAGAAATGAAATTGCCTAAGGCTGACCTGGTAGGTGAGGTGGGAGCAGCCGTCGACAATGTGTGGTCTTAGTGCCAAGACCCTGCTAGTACTTCATAAGGAACCCTGGTGGTGTAGGGGCAGTGGGCTGGGCTGCTAACTACAAGGTCAGCAGTGCAAATCTGCTAGCTGCTGCATGGGACAAAGGTGGAGCCATCTCTGCTTCCAGGAAGATGACTGCCTCAGAAGCCCTATAGAGTTGCTGTTAGAATCGCCTCGATGGCAGTTGCAAAGGGCACTTCATGGTTTTATACGGATTTCTACCTATTATTTTTTTATTCTAGCTCTGATAGAGCAGTTGTGGGGCAGAGACATGAAACTGCCAATAGGAAGTCTGAATTAAGTCCTGACTCTACCACTTAGGAAATACTTCACTTGACCTTGAGCAAGTCACTTAGTTTTCCTGAACCTTTTGTAAGATGGCGATGCTATCTTCTCAGGGTAGATGTGAATGCTAATGAAACACTGCTCACAACGGAGCTGTAAAAAGAAAAGCAGTGCACTGCTCCGAGGTCTCAAGATCTAAGGCCTGGTGCTTCCCACGGAGACCACCATAACTGGAGTGATGGTCTCGGTGGGTGGGAGTGAGGTGGGCAGTATTTCAGTGAGCCCCAGGGCTTCTCAAGGTGATCATGGGACAGATCTAAAAAGAGGAACCTGCCTCCCTTGCTTTCCTTACCTCAGAGCTTAGTGCCAGTAAGAGAATGAGGGGTCACCAAAGTTTGGTGCTCACAACTGCAGAGGCCCCATGTGTGTGTAAGCTTGTCAAGGACATAGTGCCATGGGCTGTGGTGTCACAGCTCTGCCATTATCTGTGCATAGCTGTGTGCCACTGCCATCCCTGGGGTGGTCCAGGAGGATTTCATCACAGAGTTCTCTCTAGTTGGTTGAAGCCTATTTTCTTCCATCCTGCCTTCCTCCTTCCTCTCTCTACTACTTTGTTTCTGTTTCTTAAATTGCTGCTGTTACCCTTATTAGAGGTTATGGATTGTTCTCCATTGTCTGCTGAGTGTACAGTGGTTCATCTGCTCAGCAGACGGGCGGTCGTGCACATTTGCACCTGGGCTCCTTTTGGTGTCTCACAGCCGAACAGTGGACATGTCTTGGTGGGTACTTCAAGTGTGATGCACCCCAAAGGTGGCACTTATAGGTAAGCACTGAGGCAGTGCGTGGTACACCTGAGCCAGTCCAGCCCTGTAGTTCTCCATTGTGGCGCTGGTATTCTGCGGGGAGCAGCTTTCCTGAGGTTGTAGCACACTGCCATGTGGTGCTGGAAAAGATCAGCAGGGCAGAGGCTTGGGCTTGAGACGTGTGTCACAATGTTACTGTTCTGTGTCAGGCAGACCTGGCTGACTCTTGTGGGCAAAGGTGCTGGAATGTGAGCCCCACCAGGAGGGGAAGGGCCTGGCTCAGTTGCCTGGAGCCCATGTCTGGTGGGGGGGGGGTGCGGGGGCACTGAGGAGCGGTACAGTACTTGGTGTGGTCCTTGCTGATTGGAGGGAAAAGGAGACTGCCCGTCAGGCCAGTTGGAGGACCAGGAGGCCGAGGCTGCTCTCTGATGTTTGGGAGCCAGTGTGTAAGTGGTAGAAACTTCACATCACCATGTAGTTGGCACAGTCAGTTCAAACTTGCTCTCTTTTCCTTAGACAAGACAGGAGCCATTTAATTAAAAAGCAGAAAATTGTACCATGTAAATGAAACACTTGACTGACAACATGTGTTTATGTTGGTAAGTCAGTTCCACCGGTTGGGTGCCATCGTGCTGATACTGATTCACAAGACCCCATGTTCAACAGAGCAAAATCCTGCCCAGTCGGTCTTGTGCTGGAGCCTGTTGTTGTAGCCCTGTGTCACTCTGTCTCCTGGAGTTTTCCCTCCTTTCCACTGGTAACCTATTTCAGCAAGATGATGTGCCCTCCCGCAGGGTCTGCTCCCTCTTGATCACACTCCACAGTATGGCTTAGTCTTGAACATATCCAGGGGTAAAGGCACGCCCCTCCTGCACATTGTGGGCCCTCTTGGGCAGCTCTAGTTGTTAGACAGTTTGGCTCTGTACTGACACCTCTCGCCCAGAAACTTGTATGCCTCTGTTCTCGATTCTGCCATGTGGCGCCCTAAAGTTAAATATTTCCCGCCAGACCCACCAGTCCTTGGAGGATGCTACTTTGAGTTTTCTTGATCTTCCCTTCTTCAGAGTGAATACCCTTAGTCTCTTTGACTACCCACAGGAATCACTCTCATGGTAGGCCTAGTGCATTTTGTACTTAAGTGTAATTTCCTTTTCTTAACAGGAATTGATTTGATTCCTGCGCAAGTGCATGTAGTCATTTTCTGCCCTATTCTTGAGTAATAGGCATGAATATACTAGCTGTCACTTATAGTTAGCTGCTGTCTCAGAATATTCCAGAGGAGACAAGGCCCTGTGGTAAAGAATCCAGTTGGTCCTGGTGACTCAGTAGAAAACATTTGTGCCGTTGTCTGCTTGAGCTGTTGTTCTTGAGTCTAGGCCAGTAGTTCTCAACTTTCCTAATGCTGTGACCCTTAATACAGTTCCTCATGTTGTGGTGAGCCCCCAACCATAAAATTATTTTCATTGCTACTTCATAACTGTAATTTTGCTGCTGTTATGAATCAGGCAACCCCTGTGAAAGGGTTGTTCGACACACACACACCCCTCAAAGGGGTCGCATCCCACAGGTTGAGAGCCGCTGGTCTAGGCTTCTATGAGAGAAGGAAAAAATCCGAGGTTTTAGAATTTTCATCAGACTTGCCAAAGGAATACAAAGCAGAGGCATTGAACCCCATGTGTGCAGCATACACAGGAGATGGCCAGCCAGGCACCGGAGGCTTTGACCAGAGCTGGTTTTGTCGGGTCTTTGTTGGGGAAGTCTGCTCCCACCACCACAAGTCTTAGCCACGGCCAGCTGCCATTTCTGCTGCTGCAGATGCCATCTTGCGCACTGCCCCGAGAATCCCCGCTGGGCTGGCCAGAGGCCAAGCAGGCAGTGCAGGGACGTGACTGCTGCCATGCTGGGCTACTGGGGCCCCACACCACAGACCTTTGCTGCCCCAGGCTGGGTGGGCCTGGTGATTGTGAGGGCCCTCCTCAGTGACCCCCAGAGCACTTCATTTCCTGAGGTAACCTGCCTGTGTTAGAGATGTCACCCCTTCCCCACAGGGCCCATCCCACCTGCTGTGTGTGCGCTCATTCCCTGGGAGGGTCTCTGTCAGCCCCTGTAAAGCTCTTGGACAGGTCTCCTCCATCCTGTAGGGCCGCTGGGAGGTGAACTGACTCCATGGCCACCGCACCAGAGACCTCGTTCCCTTTCGTGGAGAGACACAGGGTGTTGGGGGCTCTTCTTAAGGAAACTTCACCTCTACTTGTCTGTCTTAACTCTCTTGTTACCGCCCTCTTCCCTCTCCTGGTCTTAGATTGATGTCTTAAAAGGCTGATAGTTCAGGCCAGGAGCGAAGGAAGGTGTAGATGGCAGTCCTGCTATTGCAGCCCAGGGCTCACGTTCAGATATGCCTCCTGGATCGGATCGGGTTGGGTCCTCCAAGGATTTCTCCAAGGGGTGGGCATATGACATCAGAGGCAGCATTCCTTTTCTTCCTGGGACTCAGTGGTAAGTCGGAGGAAGGCTCCCACAGCAGAGCAGCTTTCCCTCAATCCCAACAGTTTGTTTCACGTGAAATGACGGGCCCTTGTGGAGTCTACATACTTAGACTATAAATACTAAAAATACAAGCTTCATTAATTTTAGACTTCAGAAGATGTGGAAATACAAAAAAATTGAGCTTCCGTGTTGTTGCTTCTTAAAGTGAACTTTATCTATGCCGGGCTTATTTTTGTTTTGGCAGGAAATCATGTAGCTGGATGTTAAAAGTAGATTGTGAGTTATGAATGGGAACATTAGACTTTGTTTTCAGTTGTTCCAATGATTTATCATACTATTTTTAAAAAGCCCATCTATCTGCAGTGGGCTAAAACATAGAGCACAGAGTGGACCCATTTGTAGAAAGT